TGTACATGGGTCGCTATGAGTCGGTACCAACTTGATGGCACCTAACAACAACAACAACAATCAGAATAGAACTGTTTCCTCTAGGGTTTTCAATGTCAGATGTTTCAGAAGCAGATGACCAAATCTTTCTTCCTAGGTACTTCTTGGTGTTCTTGAACCTCCAATCTTTCTATTAGTAGCTAAGCACATTAACCATTTGTACCATCCAGGGATCCCTCCCAATCACCCCTTCTGCCGTAAATGGCACAATAAGGAAGGGGTAAAAGGGAGACTCTGTTGGATCCTGGTTAGAATGGTGCCTGTCCACAGGAAAGGGCAGTTGGGTCAACAGAAATTGGACTACGTTGGTCCATTGTTGGCTTTTCCTTCTATACATGTCTACAGTAAGTACGCTCTAATCCCCTTTTCTTGTGTCTGATACAGAGAGAACTAACTGGTCACCTTTCATTTTAATATTATGAACATTAATTGGATGCCCCTGCCTTTCAGGGCTTTTTTTTTTGTGGGGGGGGGGGGTGTTGCTTAAAAGAACATGGTTTACATGGACCCTTTTCATTCACAAGTAGATCAGTGCCCACCAGGGGTCTGTGTTGGGTAAAGTAGAGGGTCAGCAGTAACAAGGAGACCATTGGGAGGCGGAATTGCACAATAGCCACAACAAACGATTCAAACAACCGGGCAACATTTGGTTCTGTTTTCGGAGCCCACACAATGGTTAGTAACAACAACAAATCACTGCCAACTGGACAGTGGCAGGGTGCTCTATGGTGCCTGGGAGCCTGAGAGGTAAATGGAATTTTTAATCATGAGTCATTTTAATCAACATCATGAAAGCCAGCAAGAATGTGATTCAATCTGGTAGACAGTGAAAACCCCTCCAAGAGGTTCTGATTCCAGCACGTCACCACTACTGTGCACAGAAAAGTAGTTTTACAAAAAGGCACACTTGTGATGAGGGAGTAAGTCAGATACACCAGGCTAGCAAACGGTCATCGGTTTTAAATTCCTTCCTCTATGGCTATCTTTCCGCTTCATTTAAGCATTCTACAAGAAACTTGTGGGAAAATGACAAACTGCTTAGCTTTCTGTAAGATGAAATGTTTCAGCACTTCACACACTGGCCCTCTTTCCTGAGTGTGCTGTCTATCTTTGTTGCATAAACACAAGCAGTGCAAAATACAATTACTGGCTTGTTACTGTTAAGTGCTGTCGAGTTGGTTCCAACCCATAGCAACCATGTATAGGGTTTCCTAAGAGCAGCTGGTGAGCTTGAACCACAGACCTTTGCAGTTCAAATCAACTTTGCAGTATAGCGCATTAACCCACAGTGCCACACCAGGACACCATTACTGGGCTAGGAAGTAACAAGTCTCTACAAAATATGTTGAGATCTGTTAAAAAGTACTGGAAGGAACAATTTGTATCATTTTCACTGTACCTACTTTACTCATTGGCATAGCATAACTCTCCTATCTACCACTATCCAATCACAGTTCACTTTTAAAAAAATAATGAGGGTAGGATTTTCCAGTGACCTTACACCTTGGGCCAGGAACCCCTGGATAATGCACTTCACTGCTAACCAAAATGCTGGAGGGTCAAGTCCACCCAGAAGTGCCTTTGAAGAAAGGCCTAGTGATCTAGTTCAGAAACATCAGCCATTGAAAAGCCTGTGGAGCCCAGATGTACTCGGACATACATGGGGTCGCCATGAGTCAGAACAACCTGATGACAATTCATTTGGTTTTATACCATGGAACAAGAGATACAACGGAATACCAAGAGACTATTTTCTTTCTTTTTTAAAAACAGACTTCTGAAAGATATGCAGGGCAAATTATGCAAGAACTGCACCCAATAAACAAGGACTTACTTTACAGAGCTTCATCATCAGCTGATTTCGAAGGAAAAGCCAAAGGTTAATTGATGTGGTTTACTGTACCACTCCAAAGACCTTGTGCAAGAAGACTTAACTTGACAACTGTTTGAACTTCCCATCTAAAATTTCATATACTTGTTTCATGAGTACTTTTTCATTAATCCCATGGGGATATTGGTTTCTTTTCTTAACTACATTCGGAAAGGGATAGTGGTTTCAAGTTTCCTCCCTCCTTTAAGATAACCAATTCCCTCTCTGGCTAGTTCAGGGATACTTTTATACCCTTTAACTTGGATAATTAAGGTAGAAGACAGATATCAAGACAGACCTTTAAGAATTCAGGCTCTGGAAGCAAGCTGCCTGGCTCAAATCCCAACTCTACCATTTAACTAGCCTACAGTGAGCAAGAGATTGAAGCTTCCTGCAACCACAAATACAGTGGTTGAAACCTACCAGCTACTCCTTGGAAATCCTATACAGTCATGTTATGAGACAGAACCAATTCGACAGCGCTTGACAACAACAACGTATAGGAGTACTGGTGGCTTAGTGGGTTCCATGTTGGGCTACTAACTGCAAGGTTTATAGTTCAAACCCACCAGCTGCTCAGTGGGAGAAAGATGAGGCTGTCTGCTCTTGTAGGGATTTACAGTCTCAGAAATCCTATAGAGCAGTTTTACTCTGTCTTATATGGTCGCTAGGAGCTCCGGTAGCATCATGGTTACGAATCAGGCTGCGAACCAAAAGGTTAGCAGTATGAAACTACCAGCTGCTCCACGGGAGAAAAATGAGGCTTTCTGCTCCCGTAAAGATTTACAGCCTCGGAAACCCTGTTCAGGGTCGCTATGGGTCGGAACCGACTCGATGGCACATAACAACAACAACACAACATATGGTCGCTATGAGTGGGAATCAACTTGATGGCAGTGGGTTTGGAAGGTTTCATTTCCGTATTTGTAAAGTAGTAATATCTATCTGTAGTACTGATCTCAGAAACCAACGGAAAATTGAAACAGCAAATGTATATCAACATTTACCACCAAGCTTGTACATAGTGAACATTCAAATAATACTGTTTTCCTCATTACTACTGTTTCTCTTTTCTATGAGAACAAGTTAGGGATGGTTGTTTTCACAGGTGCCACAGAGAATAAGGTGGAAATGAAGGTTGAAGGCAGAATAGTAACAATCTCTTTTTAATAGACAATAAGGAGCTCTGGTAGCATAGTGGTTACGAGTCGGGCTGCTAATCTCAAGGTCAGTAGTTTGAAACTACCAGCTGTTCTGTGGGAGAAAGATGAGGGTTTCTGCTCCCATAAAGATTTATAGCCTCAGAAACCCTGTACAGGGTCGCTATGAGTCGGAACTGACTCCACAGCACACCACCACCACCACCACCACCACAGTGCCTCAAGGTAGCTGAATCATCTCCACTGTGCATAACTCATGAGGGACTGGCCTGAATTTACTGAGCACCTTTGTAATTACTGGGGGAGACACTGGCTGCCCTGCAGAATACACAAAAGCTGTGGTACAGCCATCCTCAGTGTAGTAAAGAGAGGATATATACACACACACACACACACAAGGAGATCCCTAGGATGCCTTGTACTGTAAAAATGCTGAATGCTCCTGCAGGTTCTGTAGCATCTCTTATGGTACAGATAAGAGGGAAAGTCTGCATTTTGTGGAAAGTTGCAACAGCAAAGAGATGTCCTGCAAGCGAAGACATCAAACTGCGAGAGCCATAGAGTGAGCCTGGGATACCATTTGGCTTATCCTGGAGATGCTGTTGTAGCAAAAACGTCATTAAGGAGGTGTTTGCTTGAGAATACCATCAGGAGTGCAATCTTAGTATCAGAGAATGTTCCAACAGAGAACCTTTAAAAAAGTCTTTAAGGCAACTTAATTCTTCACTGTCCAAATAGAGATAGTGACGCTTGACCTCCCACTCCTGCTGGCATACAGACGTGATGGACTCAGAGAGAGAGGAACCAAAGGGCAAGGGAGAAGGTCAAGAATGTCCCTAAAAGGAAAAGCAATGCCTTACGGTAAACTACCAAAAGTGAAACCAGTCTAAATCACCCTGAGTATTAGCCCTTTCTCTCAAATGCCTCCTCCCTCCATTTATGGTTGTCATGGTTACAAAACACAGAAGTCAAAGGTGCAAGGATTTTTCTCCTGTGCAGTGTCTGTATCTGCCCTTGCTGTTCTCTTTGTGGCCCACTGACCACATCCACAGGCGACCTCCACAATTAACACAGTAAGTTTTGACAGAGAACCTTCAAGAGTAGTTTCCCATAAGGCATTGCTTTTATTACGTGGACTTCACGTATATTTAAAAACAAAAAACGAAAGAAATTGTTATGTTAGTTCTATAAGTAACCAAGCTCCTAACCATTGCTACTGGGCTTTCATATTTTGTCCCAGAATGCCTCAGTCCTCTTCCTGGCTCATCCCCCACCCCCAAAGGTGGCCTGAAATTAAGGACTGAGGCACTCTGGGACAAAACGGTTGGGGGTTCAAGCCACCAGCCACAGCAGAAAAATGTAGTAGCCAGCTTTCGTAAAGATTACCCAAAATCCAACCACTGCCATGGAGTCATTCCAATTCATCCCGATTATAGAACAGAGTAGAATCGCCTCATTGGGTTACCAATGCTGTAAACTTATTACCTCCTGAAGCTGAACAAGTACTCTGGTCCCAACATGCCCCATCTGCAACACAAACCTCAAACCCATCTCATCAAGGTACAAGGCTGACTTACAGTTTGCTTCAAAACAAATCTGTGGCCATCAAGTTGATTTAGACTCATAGGGTATAGCCAGGGAACACTATGGGGCAATTAAACCCTGTCCTGTATGTCGCTATGAGTCCAAATCAACTTGATGGTAATGGGCTTGGTTTTGGCTTTGGTTTGCGACCTAAACATATGTCTGCCTTGTACCTGGCTGTAATAGGGTTGGAAGAGGGCTGATGTTGGAAGACTAGGGTACTTGCTCAGTTTGGGGAAATGGCCCCCTACTCCCCGTCACAGAAAGTGGTCAGCCTAAGACTGCTCATACCATGTGCCCCAAATGAAGCCGACCTAATCTCAGCACGTGAGCAACGTGGGGCTTACCTTGGCCCAGGAAACCGTGTAGTAGACCTTCGGGTCCCAGGGGGCTGTACAGGGCAAGTCCACATCCTCAGAACAGATTACCTTCACGTCTTGCGTCGCAGATGCTAGGCTACAGACTGCAAGAGAGAGCAGATCGCGCTCAGTAAGCAGACGAGAACAAACGGTGTCGCTCAGTGGCGAGGGGAGTCACAGGCGCACTCGGGTCCTACCGCAGATCAGGAGCAAGAACTGGAGGCCGCGCGTCATGGCTGGAGTGTTGCGCTTCTGCCTGCGGCTGCGGGCTCTGGCGCTCAAACGCGGCTCGGCCCTCTTTGTACCCTGAGCACAGGGACTTCCCCGCGGCGCAGCCCCTAGACCCCGGCAGCCGGCAGCCGGGGATTCCCCCCAGAGGCGGAAGCGGGAGGCGGGCCCTCCCCAGCCCAGCGGCAGACAGGGACGCCCCCGTCCCGTGCCTGCGCCCCAGCTCCCGCCTAGCACGTGTCTCCGCCCCCGCGCGCAGCACCCCCAAGTTAACGTCGCTGCAGCTGTGTGTCGGTGGTGACAATCCAAGCAGAACTCGCTGCGTTGTGGACTATGCAGAGCCGGGGAAGAAGCCCATTTTACAGAGGCGAAACCAGACGTAGAGAGGCGGAGTAGCTTCCTGATGCGCCCAGCCTGCCAGTGGCTACGTCTCTGAAGAATCCAGGTCCTCACATCTCTCCCGATTCTTTGGTAACCCAGACGACTTAATCGATTTTTTTTTTAAATATATGTGAAATCCATATAACATTAAATTAACCATTTTAAAGTGAACAATTCAGTACCATTTAACACATTCACAATGTCTTATAACCACCACTTATAGGCTTCCTTAGATTTTCCAAACTCCATAATATTTAGTACTTAGCTCCCTGTCTACTTCCTCCAGTGGCTCTCCCTCAGTATCTTCTAACTCGTTTCAATTATTTCAGCAGAGGAAAACCTTTCCTATGTAATTTTTCTTATCTAGACCCTGGAGGAGCTCTGGTAGTGTAGTGGTTAAGAATCAGGCTGCGAACCTTAAGGTCAGCGGTTCAAAACTACCAGCTGTTCCGCGAGAGAAAGATGAGGCTTTCTACTCCCGTAAGGATTTACACCCTCGGAAAACCTGTTACAGGGTCACTATGGGTCGGAACCGACTCGAACGCACTTAACAACAACAACAAGACCCTGGAGTCCTAGTGTGGCGCTGTAGGATAAGCACTGAATTGTTAACCTCAAGGTCGGCGGTTCAAACATTCCACTCCTTGGAAACCCCATACAGGGTCGCCATGAGTCCAAGCCAACTCAATGACATTTCACAACAACAATAAATATAGACTCTGGGTAGCACTAACCATTAATAAGTGAAACGTTAGCTGTTCGGTCCACTCAGAGGCACCTCAGTAGAAAGGACTGGCAATCTACTTCCAAAAAGTCACGAAAAATGCTATGATTTAAAATAAACTGATCCACCACAGATCATGGGAATGGTGCAAGACCAGAAGTATTTTGCGCAATTGTGCATCGGGGCCTCCATGAGTCATAGCGACACTGTATAAGATTGCCAAGGCTGTAAATCCTAGAAGCACACAGGCTCATCTTTCTCCTCAGGAGAGAGGCTGGCAGGCTTCAACCAAAGAGCGGTTGGTGAATTTGAATTGCCGACCTTGTGGTTCAAACCCACTTTTCCATCCAGCGCTTTA